AAAAATGGTACTAATGGGAATTTGGGGGTAAACTGTCATGTCCTCACAGCAGAGGAGAAAGGGAGGAAAGAAACAGGAAGAAAAAGCTGGACCCTCCAAACTGTACCCCAGGATGCCAGGGCCTCTCTACCCCGTTCCTGTGGAATGCTGGCCCAGTCCACCAGGCCTAGCTTCCCTAAACCCTGCCTTTATTCTGCTTAATGCTTTTAATTCAATGCAAAACCACCATCATTCATAAAATGATAAGAATACCTCTCAGTGGGGCTCCTAGGTGGCTCTGCCCGTTAAGCAGCCCACTCCTGATTTCTGCCTAGGTCACAGCTCAGGGTGGTGGGATTGAGGCCCCCGTCCCGCTCTGCGCTCAGCAGGGAGTCCGCTTGAGATTCTCTCTCTCCCTCTGCTCTTCCCCCGGTTTGCACTTGCTTCTCTTTCTCTCTCTCTCTTTAAAATAAGTAAATAAAATATGTTTCTAAAAAAAGAAGAATACTTCTCAGGATCTTTATCAGCATTAACTGAGGTGATATATACAAGAAATTAACACAGGGCCTGGCACATCCCCAGGCATGTTAGTTTTTCTTTCAAAGGCTCTCTATTTCCAATGCAAAACCCTGTCTCTGATTTCTCCGTTGGCCACGATCTGGGACCCTACCTTTCCAAGTTTCCCTGCACGGCTTTCCAAAGCGAACCCTGCACTGCACCATTTGGTTCTCCCCATCACCTCGCAGACAAGCCTTTGTCAGGTCAGCCCCTTCCTTGGCTCCTGGCGCTGCCTTCTGTACTCCCCAAAGTCTCTCATGGCCTAATGAAATCCTGGCCTTACTTCCCTTCCTGGCACTACTCAGGAGCTACCTCCTCCACAGAATCTGTCCCCTGTGTTCGTCTGCTGCCCCCTTACCCGGAGGGTAAGGAGAGACGGAGGAAAGAGGCAGGCAGACCTCTCCGGACTGGAAGGCGGCAGGTTCAACAAGCAAGGAAACGTACATACAGGCTAGTCTTGGGCGCCCTCAGGACGAGTAGATCTGCGCACCTGCCTGCCTGAATCTTCAACGCTTGTATAGAGGCCTCAACCGGGTTCAAACCATACCAGGCAGGTAGGCTCAGCACCACATTGTTCTCTCAAGGCCGCGCGTCCTTGAAAACGGTCGCCACTGTGGGAAAGGAGGGCGGAGTGTACATTTCAAGGACGGGGGAGGAGTGAGGAGCCTCCGATTGCCCGACTGCCGGGGTCAGCTTTCTGGTCAACTGGAGGTCACGTCCTCTCCATGACCCCTCCTCCCAACACGCCACCCCTCCTGACCAGTGTTTACAATCTCTTCTGCAATGTGCCCTGAACAGTCAGCAAGGGCTTCCGCCAGCATCGAGGTTGGCAGGGGAGGTAGATGAGAGGAGATGAATGCCAGACCAGGACCCTCACCTTCTCCCTCTTTCAGTGGTGCATGTTCCACTCCAAGCATAGTGTGTTTGGACAGGTCCAGCTTGCCACAGAACAACTGGATCCCAGAGGAGACTGAGTAGTTCCCATTTACCAGGGATGCGAAGTCATTCACCCTTTCCAGTAGGACATCTCATTGTAACTGCCGTAGATAATGCCTTTCCCAGGTATGATGGGGTTTGGTGTTCTCAGCAGCATCACACCTTGAGCCACGTGAGAAATGGGGCAATGGCTGTTTTCCATGACTTCCATATCTTTGCTATTTGGGGTGTCTCAGTAGGGATCCTCGGTCTGGTATATGGGGCAAAGGGTCCTACTGATTTTTCATTCAAATGTATTAAAGCCTGGGATAGTATTTTAGCCCAGCCAGCCAAATGACTTTGCTTATTAGTAATTTAATCTGCTGCTTTAATATTACATTTTTCCTTTCTACCAATCCTGCTGCTTATAGGTTATAAGGGAGAAGGACCCTCCACTCGATGTCATGTTCTTTTGCCCAGTCTTGTATATCACGACCTTTGAAATGTGACCTCCTATCACTGTCTATTCAATAAGGGTATCTGTACATGGTACTTAGCTTCTCTAATTCCCTAATGGTAGCAACCTGGTTGTGCTGTGACAGGGGATAGCTTGGGTTAAGCCAGATACAGTGCCCATATAAAACAAGTCATATTTAGAACCCACACTCAGAGGGAAGGGACCATTAAAATCAATCCCTGACTAGTTGGAAACTCCAGTTGATGGTCCCAGACTCCTTTAGTAGTTGCCTTGGATATTATTTAGAACAAACAGGACACGCTGTTACTGCATTAACCAAGTCACTGTATTTCAGGGGCAATATGGAACCTTGGCAACATGCCATCTTATTTGAGTGCTATGGTGACCTCTCTTCATATGTACCCGATCTGCTTTATCTACTGATGGATCAGTTGCTAGCGTATGTACTGGGCTAGGGCATCAGCTTCCTGATTGCCATGGGGTGTCAGTGACTTACTATCTGCGATGTGGAAGGCAGTGAGGACTCTTTCAGGCTCTGGCAGATGGACCCAAATGTCTTTCTGCATATCCTGACCCCTCAAGGGCTTATTCATGATCATCCATCCCTTGGCTTCCCATTATATAAGCCATGGGGGTTCATCTCTTTGTAAAGTCCAACTGTCAGTGCAAAGGGTTAACAGGCAGGATGCCTAAGTGATCACCAGCCAAACCACTGAGCTCAGCCCAAGGGCCGTTGAGGTTCCTTCGGGCTTCCATCCAGATGGTGCCAGTGTTGGGCTGAATGGTAGCTCCAGTCCCTACAGGAGGGTTGCCCTGTTCAGACCCATCTCTATACCAGGCATCAGCAGGGATTTCCCCCATTTCCTCTCTCCAGGCTGCCGGGGCTTCAGGGGCTGCTATAGGAAAAGGGGTGAGAGCATCTGGAGCATCTACATACTCCACATGGCCTCACAACACCTGCATTTTTGAGACGGTGGGCTGCTTCTCTGTTGTAAACGGGCACGCCACTTAGTCAAAGTGGGGGTTTGACCTCCACCATGGCAGAGGTGGGTCAATAGAACCTATTTTTAACACATATCTTGATGGGAAGGGAAATGTTTACCACAATATGCTATTCCTTCCTGTGAGGCTTTGCCTGGAGGAGCACCGGGTACACTGCTAGGAGCTGTTGCTCTGTGGGGGCATATTGGGTTTCTACCCCCTTCTAGAGCTCGCACTAAAATCCTAGAGGTACTCTGTCTTTCCATTGTCTTTGCTATCGTGCCCAGCCCATACTTCATAGCGTCACAGACACATCTAATTCAAAGGGTAGCTCTACTTGGGAGAGGCCCTGAGACTTAACCTGCTTCACTAATATTTTCACCTTCTCAAAGGCAGCTTGTTGTTTTGATCCCCAGTTCTATATGTGTCCTTTCTTTACTAAGTGGCATAAGGGATGGAGGTACTGTGTGCCAGGTCTGGAATTAAAGTACCCCCAAGCCTCCAAATCTATACAGAGTCTTGCATCTCTTTCCTGTTCTTAGGGTTTGGATAGGCTTGCATCTTATCAATCACAGATTCCAGGATAACATGCATCTTATCCAACCAAACAACTCCTCAAAACTTTATGGTAGGGCCTTGGCCTTGAATTTTCTGTGGGTTCACTGCCCATCTTCTCCCGCACAGATGTTTCAGCAAATCCTGCAAAGTGTCCTGCCGCAGAGACTAGTCTTCACATTTTAATATGATATCATCAGTGTAATGGACCCATTTTTATTGATGTGGGGAAGGAAAAGAGGGACAGATCTCAGATTACCATCTGGGAATATACTGTGGAGCTGTGCAAGTAGCTTGGAGAAGTATCTGAATGGCCCATTGTTGCCCCTCCCACATGAAGGCAAATTGATCTTATGACTCAGTGGCCAGTGGTAGACTGAAAAAAGCTTTTGCTAAGTCTAGCACAGCATGGTACATTTCTAGGATGGTGGTCAAGGTATCTAGGATGGTGGCAATGTTGGGCACAGCCACCTGGTTGGGGGGGCATGACATTCGTCAATTTTCGATAGTCTACTATCATCCTCCATGAGCCACCTGGCTCTTTTATTGGCCGTACAGAGCTGTTGAAAGTATTATGGGCAGTATATACAATACCCACCCGATATCATCCTTGGATAGTTTTCCTAGTTCCTTGTGTCCCCCAAGCAATTTGTACTATTTGACAATTAGCATTTTCAAGGGGGTGGTAGACTTCCTGATTCCCAACTGGCGCATCCCCTCAGCACTGGTTTGATTACTCTAACCTGGAG